CTCTTTGCACGGGGAGATATTGTTATTACGCCTTCTGACCCCAATCAAGCTTATCGAGTCATCAACATGGCGGGCGGTCGCGAGCCACTGCAGTACGAAGCTAGGTACCCGCGAAGTGACGTTGAGAAACCTGTTCCAGTGGACGGTTTTGTTCTGGACTGCTTAAGCTTTGGATCTGATGGCACCGCATACATTCCAAAACTACAGAGACTCCCGATCCATCGATTCCATGGAAAACGATTGATTACATCGTTACCCGTTTATCCTTTGCGGTTCGACCCGAAGCAAAATGCATTACGAGCCGAATTCGAAGCTATGGGCACGAGGTTCCTGGAATTGACTCGAGAAACAAGTTGCCACAAGCTGGCTCGTGGCAAGACACTCGATGAGCCATCTCATGACTTAGACAATCAAGTCATAGTCGACATGCGCCTCGCGATGACGGCTAAAGCTGAGTGGAGAATGAAGACCAGTATATCGTCGGAAGAGCTCACACGAAGGGACAAAAGGGAGACTATTGAAGGATCCTGGTGTTATCATCGTGAACCAGGTTGTTGCGGTGGCGATGTCATTTTTAACGACCTCGTATACGATGAAGAGCATGCTGCCGCCTTCGGTCAGAAACTGACCAGGATGTTAGGTCCGCTGCAGGAAGAAGATCTGACAGAAGAAGATTTGATGTTAATGCAGCCTTACGTCTACGCCTTCGTTCTTCGATCTAGACAGTGGGCAACCATCTGGACAACAGACCTGACAGAAGTTGTGTTTGAGAATAACTTCAACGACCTCGTCATTTCTGAAGACCACAAGGAGACTGTCAGGGCACTGGTAAAAACGCACGAGAACAAGCGGGCCGCAGAATCATCTCCTGGCGTCGCACGTAGCGTTGGAACAGCGCTGGATCTTGTCAAGGGCAAAGGGGCTGGCCTTGTCATTCTTCTCCACGGTCCACCTGGCGTGGGGAAGACATCGACGGCTGAGTGCGTTGCCGATGATACCCATCGACCTCTCTTCCCCATTACATGCGGCGATATTGGAGAGACGGCGGCCGATGTCGAGACCAACTTGCAATATAGCTTTAAGCTTGCACATAAATGGGGTTGCGTACTGTTGCTGGATGAGGCTGACATCTTCCTCGCGAAGAGAGTTCGAGACAACATCCGTCACAATGCCGTGACGAGCGTATTCCTTCGCACACTTGAATACTATGCCGGAATTCTGTTCCTTACCTCCAACCGAGTCGGAGCAATCGATCCAGCATTCAAGTCAAGGATCCAGATGTCTCTCTCCTACAACGATCTGGATCTCCCGGTGACTCTCAAGATTTACGAGAAGTTCATCAAAAGAGCCAAAGAAGAGCAGCGCAGTACGGGGACCCAGAACTTCAAGATAAAAGAGAAGGAGATCATGAGCTTTGCCGAAAAGCATTACAATCGACTTGAGCTTGAAGGACGATACACGTGGAATGGAAGGTATGGTTATGTCCCGCTCGCCCAGCTTTTTAGTGATGTCTCTCAATGTCTAGAATCGCTTAGTTTACTGACAACCAAATGATGTAGACAAATCCGAAACGCTTTTCAAACAGCCATCGCTCTAGTTGAGTACCAATACATATCAAAAGAGGCAGACGAGCCCAAACCCAGTCTTGGCAAGAAGCAATTCAAGAAGGTTGCAAGGGGGTTCAAAGAGTTCGATGACTATCTCATCAATGTGAACGGAGCGACTGAGGCAGACGAGGCTAGACGCGAGGGCTGGCGATATGATGTTCGAAAGACCGTATCCTCGCCGACGCCGCACAGATCCACACAGGCTAGTCGCTTCCAGCAGGGTTCGAAACATCCTGCGCGAAACCTCGAGTCTGAAGATAGCTCCGAGACAGAGAAAGAAAGTGAAGATGATGCTGAGGACGAAGTCAAAGATAGAAGAGGATCGGAGACAAAGGCTAACCCCAGCACCGTTGGAAGTCAATCTTTCGCTACCGCTGGAGCGTCCCTTGACATGGAACAGTACCAACAATTTCTCAAGTTCCAACAGATGATGTCGGGTGGTGGTAAATAAGAGTTAGAAATTGCAGTGAGCATACGAATGACTAGGAAAGTGAAAGTAGTAACAACAAGGACTAGACTTTGAGTTTTATCTCCTCCTGCCATGCGGTAACCATGAGATTGATCCTACCGTGAATCAGGAAACACACGAGAAATGGCCGGTTTCTTCATTTGATTGCCGAGCAAGATCCGGTTGACATCACTGATTTTGCGCACTAGACATTGCGGCCACGTGAACTGCCATGCGTGCCATGAGGCAAACGAACGCAGGCAGCATCTGGAACACAGCCTTACAGCTCCACTATGCTGCAACCACATGACGTTCACAGATTTCAAAGCTTTGAACCAACCAGGCTCTCAGTTGCGCAGTTGGTTTTGGCCAAGAGCTTGTTGGAACCCTTACTTCTGCAAGTCATTCGTTTCCCCTGAAAACAGCATCTCGCAAAAAGGTCCAGCAGACGCCTTATGGGGGTCGCCTTGCCAGCGTGGGCACAACATTGGCCAGTAAGCGGGAATGCGGCATAACCGAAGTGATGCCTGGCTACCTATCAGAAAGTGGACATGGTCGGTATATTTCAGCCGCGGCCAAAAACATCAGATATGCTCGGATCAGGCTAGCGTGTCTTATGCCAGCTCCACGCCACGGCTCTTTCGACAACGCTCGTAAACGCACCTGCGCGGCCCGGCCCCCAGATCATGCAGCGTAAGCCGGTGTGATAGTCAGCCACTCTGAAGACTGAGGGCCGACCTGGTTGCAGCAATAGTCGTCGGAATGCAGAAGGCTATCAAGGCTGGCTGAGTAGCCAGTTTGGCTTGGTGATGGGACTGGGCGTCAGACTGCTGACCATCTTGTCTTTGATTACGCCAATCAACGTTCGTCGTTCACGTAGAAAGCCTACGATCAACTGTTGCACAGATTTGTCCGGTTGAAGACAACTCTGCGGCTGAGCACTCTGTAGCCTGCCTTGGGGTTTTGCGTGTAGATGGGGGCCTTGCATGTGATGCTGATTGATCCCTATTTATTGCTGTTGGCTGCCCTGTTTCTGCTGGATCCTTCGCAACTCTGCTTTTTCTAAGAGACACTTCTCGATTTCATATTTAGCTTTCTTATACAAAATCTCAATCATGGTTCGCATTGAAGATTTTGAGGGTATGCAGTACTCTAGGGTGGGAGACGAGTCTGAGATGCAGGAATACGCCTTTTTCAACCAGCAATATGCAACCTCAACATATCAGAAAGAGCACGACATGAACCCCGATCTCATTGTGCGACCTCAAAACGACCAAGATGTTATCAGAGCGGTCAACTGGGCCAGAGAGAACAAGGTCGCCGTTGCCGTCAAGAGCGGAGGCCACCAGTACAGCGGAGCCTCGTCTACAAGCGGCAAGAACATCCAGATCGACTTGGGTAACACTTACAAGGATCTGATGATCTTGAAGCCCAAGGATCCAATTGCAGATAACCGCACACTTGTTTACATTGGCGTCAGCATTACTATGATGGACCTCAACAAGTACCTCAAGCAGACGAAGCTCTTTGTTCCCACCGGCCAATGTGCCTACGTCGGTGTGGGAGGTCACGGCCAGACTGGCGGTTACGGACAGTTGGGCCGAAGTTTCGGCCTTTTTGGAGACAACATCAGAACCATCCGTATGGTATGCCACGACGGTGTCATCCGCGACATCACCAAAGAGAACAACCCTGAGATGTTCTACGCCATTCTTGGTGGCAGTCCAGGAAATTTCGGCGTCATCACTCACTACATCGTCGAGGTGTACAAATCTAGCAGCTACCTTGGTACTGTCGCTGGGCCCAACGGCTTCAAGGGACCTCACGGCATCAAGGCACTCTGGCTCTACTCCAAGGAGGTTCTCACCACACTTCTCAATGCCATTGCCGAGATGGCTGACGACCCTACATTCCCCCGCGGCTTTGACCTCTGTGTCAGTGTCATCAGCACAGATTTCCCCATGTCGACTCTGTTCAAGGAGCTCAAAGATGCCAACGTCTGGCAGCGCATTCAGGACCGCATCAAGAATGCGCTCGAAGACGACTTCCTGGAGTTGCTCAATGGACGTTTTCCAGCCTCGATCATTCTGTACGCGCAGTGGTGCCCGACCAGCAAGGAGGACGTGTACGATGCCAATGTCGATGCCTGGTTTGGCAAGTTCCGAGAGCTCAAGAGCCTGTTGGAAGACTTCTCGCTTCAGTTTGGAGAGTTCGACATGGAGATGTCGGATATGACTGGGCAGTGGATCTTCCCCAGAGCGCGCGAGTTTGACCTTCCATACGTCAAGCGCACATACGCGACCAACTCCACCAGCCTTACAAAGGACAAATGGGTTGATGCCGTGGTTGACCGCATTGACCTCATCTACAACCCTGAACAGTATCTCAAGGGACACGAGGGTGAGAAGGACTACGAGCGCTTTATGAGATGTAAGCTGTCGGTTCAAATCCAGTGCTTTGGAGGCAAGTACTCGCGCTTCTTCGTCAACAGAGACAACGGCACATCTTACAGCTGGAGAGACTCGTCTGTTGTCCAGACTTTGGACTGCTTCCACGAGCCCGATGAAGATTCAAGAAAGCTGGCTCAATCATGGCAAGCCAAGAACGATCAGATTATGATCGGACCTGACAGCCCGTTCAGCAAGAAGGACAGACGTCTTCTTTGGGGATCCTATGGCGATTGGAACTTGGGTGATGAGAAGATCTGGAAGTGCTACTACGAAGATGAGGAGAAATACAGGCGGCTTGGAAAGGCCAGAGCACTCGCTGATCCCAACGGAACGTTTACTGCAAATCCGTTCGCAATTACTGCAATCAACAATGCAAAGTTATGAACGGGACTAAGTACTTCACTAAAAACAGGACTGGGCGGAAAACTTGTATGTTAAGAATTAGGTCAAATTTGTACCCCAAATTGTTTGTAGTCTAAAATTGCATAACCTTCATCACATTGACATTCTCAGCGCCAACATTTTGCCAATATCCGGAGTCCCCAACCCAGTGACAGCGTCCCAGCCAGCCACTGAGGGCCAACCCGCGTTCGGCACGAGCTTGGCTCCGAACTCAGGCGGGAACTTTTGCGTGCCAAAACCAGTTGTGCCAGTGCAGCCCACGGACTGCCCAGCAGACACGTCGTTGATGGCTTGCAACCCAGCGCCATATAGCCATGGATTGATGAATCCCATTGGCGGCTTTCCCGCCTGGATGAGAGCGGCGTTGACCATGCCCACCATGCCTGCCCAGATTGGAGCGGCGGCGCTGGTACCTTGGAAGCCACCTAGTTGGCCGCCCGTCACGAATGTGAGGTTGAAGCTTTGGGCACTAACGTCTGGGAAGCCTCGGCCTGATGCGTTGAAGAGGCCGTTAAATTGGGTTCCAATGGTGTTCTTCAAGTACGCCGGCACAACTTGCTCTTGGTATGCCGGTCTGGCGAACTTGTCCGAGAACCCACCGCTCGAGAAGTCGCTGGCCCGCTCAGGCGCGATACCCCTCACCCCGCCAACTCCTGTGACAAAGGGGCATGATGCCGGAAAGACGGCATTGAACCGCGTGCTGTTGGTACCGTCGTTTGTGACACACGTGTTGCCCGTTCCAGAGTCACCCGACGCGGCAAACATCGTAACGCCCCGGGCACCGAGTGCACCGAACTGATCGCAAATTTGCTGAACATAGCCGTCCGGAAGTGACTGTTCGTTCTCGCCGAAACTAGTAGTGATTGTGTGAGGAAGCTTTTCGTCGGGTAGCTTGAGCATCGCGTCTAACCAGATCAGCCAAGGTTCCGTCGTGTCCCCAGGTTGACCGCCTAGTTCGAGCTTGATCGGTCCATCTCCCGCCACGGCGGTGACGATGTTGGGCACCGGGTTGGACAGTGAAGCCGTATACTGAACGTCGAAGTTGAGTTCGGCGTTTGAGAACTTGTTCTGGGCCTGATCTGTTGTGCCATTATTGATGCTAAGGAAAGAAAACTTCACTCCCGTTGACGGTTGATCGACGTTCTTGGCAAACAGGGCAAAGTCGTCAAATTTGGCAACCTGATTCTGCGAAGCGTAGATCCCAAGACCGCGGGCCAGACTGACATTCATTTTGGCAGGAACATTGTACAGAGCTCGTATGCAGTTAGGTGTAATGGTCCTGTTACACGTAGGATCGGCTTGTGCTTGCGGTGCGGGTGGTGTAATCCTATCTACCTGTGCCGCGTAAAGAAGTTTCGGATTCACCCCAGCCAACGACCTCTTCACCTTCCGGAGCTCGTCGCGGGGGGTGTCGTCAGCAAGAGGCGTAACCACAGTCGATCCTTGGTGCATCATCGGGTGAGAACAGAATCTCGTCGACGGGGTAATTAACGAGATCTTGTTCTTCAACTCCAAGGGTAAAGAATATTGCAACGTCCGCAGCACCTCCTTGCCGCTGTCAATGTTTCGGAACCATATAAAGTCTGCGTCGAGCAGATTATTCGCCTTCTTCGCCGTTGTCTGCACTTTGATCCAATGACCATCGCTCTCTATATCTGCCGCTGTTGCGTTCCCGTGTTCTTGAAGCCAGTTTATAATGATGTCCCGTGACTCTGTATCGGGGTTGAGGAGTGCTTGTGCCTCCTCTCGAGAGAGGTGCCTGCCGTATAGCTCATGTCCCGGCGTGGAGACACTGTAGAGGGCCCGTTCCACATGCCTGCTTCTATCGACTGCGATGGATATGCTGAATCGGTGATCCGGATCAGCGGGACGAGAGAGTGTCCATCCGGATGGTGGATCTCTATTATACTCTACTTGTATTGAGCCAGCTCTCGAAGCGATGGCAAATGGCCCGATGAAGGAAAGAACTGTAAACGCCGCAAGGAGAAGCATCTTGAAAATCGAATTCGTGCCCCAGGCACTGGAATATTAGATAAAACTTAACAGTAAGCAAGGAAAAGAACAGATCAAATATTTGGAGATAGCTTAAAACGTTTCGCGGGGCATTTGGGGGAGAAGTAGTAATAAGACCTTGAGACCTCGTCTGTATTGCACCAGGACGGCCGTACGAACTACAAAGCCTCCTGATCCCTTCGGCACTTGACTAGCGAGCGGCCAGATCGAGATAATTAACGAAACATAGCCTAAAGCTAAAGATGCGGGCGCCATCACGGTCGAAACTTGTCTGAGTATGGGCCCACCTGATGTCGCAGTATCTCTCTGTGGTCGAGGGTCACATCGTTAGTCAGTTTCAGGTTTCCGAGGCGACGGTCTTTTCGCCAGAATCCCGCCTCCGGTCACTTCAGAACTCAGGGTTCATCGGGTCTCTGCCCCTCGTCTTACGAACCCATCGCAGAGTCGGCTGCTCTGTCAATGAGGGGAATATAGGGCCCGAAATGGTTGTTCCAGCTCAACCGTAGCGAGAGTATGCTCAAAGTGTGTTGATGTTTGAGGGATCATGACTTGATGAACAACTATCCGGTTCTAGTAAGCTCTACTTAGCCTTCGTCAGGTATAGACCTTGTTTTCTTGGTACCTGCTGATTCGTAAGTCAAGGAGATCGGGGAACAAGGTCGAAGGCCTATATCCGATGAAAGACTCATTGCATGGAGATTCAGTTGCGGAGGAAGCTGTATCTTAATACACCTTTCCAAGGCTTGCGGTATTGAGACCGCACGAACTTCAAGAAGTCCACTAAGGCTTCACAAAGACCACATAATGGGAAAACGAGTACGAAGTTGGTGGTTGTTGGACACTTCTTCGTTTGGACGACGAACTATTCCAAATGTAGCTAGAATCCGAAAGCGGATGAAAGTCAAATGTGTAGTGTTCCATCCAAAAGAATGTCTGTACCTACAATAAGCTTTACGGTAAGATTGTGCAGCAAAAAGTGTGATTTTTGTAAGCGCGATGGAATCTTCGGACATAGCCTTGGACCCGAAACGATCGTCAGCCAGAGAAAGCTTGAACCATCCGAAGCCTGAGAGAAGGCGGCTCCTTCATTAAGGGACTTGATCACGGGGAGGAGCGTGCTTGGGACAGCTTGCGGGAGCACAGCCCGTTAGACGTTTCCAACGCGCGTCAACTATGCAATGAGTATACAAGGCTTACCTTACGTGACTCGAACCTCACATTCGTGGTGCTGGGAAGGAAACCTTCTTTCTCCGATCCGCAAATTCCATCTAGACTAGTCGGGATCTTTCAAGCTGCAGCTGTGCCCTTCTAGTATTACTTAATACTGAACAGCTGATACAACGTTGGTTAATTCACCGTCTTGGAAGTGATGCGCTCGTGGGTAGTAAGTTGAACAGCCTACAGGCACTCAGAAACCTATCGCCTCTTGCTACAAAGCGGTGTTAAACAACACTCTCCTCTCAGATATAGTCTGAATAGGCTGCGTTGATGATCACTTTCTATGATGAATGTCTCGAATTATGTTTGGGCTGGTGATATTGCGGGCCGGAGCTTTTGACATACAGGTACTTCGGCATATCTAAGCAGAGATGCCGTGCTATTCTCCTTTCTCTCTCAACAAGACAAATAGATTTATGGCAGGCTGGAACAGTGGCTTACTGGCTAATGACGGGCAAGTTGGTCTGGTTACTTCCGTATATCTCACTCCCTATTATCAGCTTTGACTAAAGACAGAAACTGCAAGCCTCATTCTTGTTTCTAAAGTGACGGGAAGTTCTTCAACGTCATAGGCATCAAAATCCAACTGCAAGTGCTACGATATGGGCTCGTTGGCTACATTGAAATCGATATAGTTCTTTTACCCATTGAACAATGTCACGTAACAGGGATAGCAATCGCACCTCACGAAGTGCCCGTTACGTACTAAATTACGTATCTATTTTAAATATCGTATATATAGACCTTTTTTTTTTATTTATTTCTATTTTAATAATTAAGCTACTTTTATTATACTCCGTATACTTATTACTACGTATTATAACTCGTAATAGTTATAAACTTAGTTCTTAGTTAAGACCTTATATTATAATAATATACTTATTAATACGATTCTTACGATCTTTTTAAAATAACCGACTTATTTATACCTACTTTAGCCTAAACTAAATTAACTAGCTACGATAGTTAGATTAAATAGTTTAATATACTTTATATTATAAATAAGAGTATTAGGGTTTAGAAGTACGTCGACTTAGATATTTTAAACTTTAACGTATTCTTTGACCCCTTTATAATACTTATTTTACTTTTTAAATTCGGATAATTAGTTATAACTTATAATAAAAAAGAATTACGAGCTTACTAAGCCCGTTATAAAGCGTTTAAAAACGATTAAAAAAACTAAGAAATCCTTTATTAATAATTTCTAAATATAATTCCTAATACGAACTTTTTAACTTTTTTAAGTATAAATAACTTATAGGACTAAGCTAGGTTTTTTTTTATAAAGCTAGCTATATTACTTATTTTATATAAATAAATCTATTTTTATATTATACTTATAAAAAGGATCTATATACTCGAGAGTATTTAGAAATAATAAGAGCTTAATACTAAATATAAGTAATTTATAACTTATAAACGTAATATTATTAATACGTATATTAAAGTCCTTATTTAGTAATTAGCAAAATTAATTAATATTATATTATATAAATACGTATTTTAAAAAGTTATTAAGAACGGCGCTAAGTTTAATATATAGCGAATCGTTAGATATTTAAAATAAGAATTTATACCCCCCGAACTAGTAATAAGGAATATAATTTAAAAGGAATATTAATAAGCCCTTAATAAAACGAGGACCGGAATTAACCCCTAATATTAATATAAAGAGTAGTAGTTTACTTATTTCTAAGCTAAAACGTATAATATTTTAGAAATTAATAAAAAGATTGCCGTACTTAACTTCTTAGTTATAGTTAAGTTTAAACTTAATTTTATATAAGGCTAACGTATATATAAGACTTTTAGTAAATTAATAGCCTTTAGAACGTATATAAGGATACTTAAGGAGATTATATATATATTTAGCTTAATAACTTAGGACGTATATACTAAACGACCTTTAGGTTAAGGAGGGGCTTATTTTACTTTTATTAAACGCTTTAACTTAGTTAATAATATAAATAATAAAGGTAACGTTATATACCCTTATAATTATATATACTTATAGCGCCCTATAGCGTATTAAAAATTAAAATAGGTATTTATAAGCTAAAATATTAATAAGTTACTAATATAAATACTAAGGAGCTATATAAAAAAAGTCCTTATTACTATTAAATTAAATAAATAGAAATTATTTTATAGTAAGTTTAAAAAAACTAGTTAGCTAAGGAACAATAGAACCCTTAAGAAACTTAGATTTTTAAAAAAATCCTTTAACTAACTTATAACGAGCTTATTAATAAACTAAAATAAGGGCTACGTAGTTACTATATTTATAAAAAGTTAGGACTTAGAAATAAACGTAATTTTTAGTACCCTTATAAGTAGCGCTTACCCCTTTTTTTAGAATATAATAATAAATAGCTATAGAGTAATATATTTAGTTAACGATAAGAGCTTATTTAAACCTAAGAGTTACGTATTATTAAATAATAATAACTATATTAAATTAGGAACTATTATATTATTTATTATTATACGTAGTACTCGTATTATAAAAGGCGTTTTAAACGAACTTAAGAAAAAGGGAACTTACGATTTAAAGCTCTAAAATGTCGTTTATATTAAGAGATTTTATATTAATATAGTCTTAGAAACTTTACTAAATAGAAGCGCACTCTAATACTATAGTTTAGATTATACTTTATAATAAGGAACGCTTTATAAAAGTATTATTAAAAAGTAGCTTATTTAAAAAAATAATCTAGTCTTTTTTAAATATAAGCTCCTCTAATCCTATCCTTTTTTTATAAACTTTAAGTATATTTTATAGAGCTTAGTTAGTATTATATTATTAATTAGCTATAAAAAATTCCGATATTTATATTAACGTACCCATAAGAAGTTTAATAGTGTACTTTTTTAGTATTTTAAAATAGGTTATTTTAAACCTAATATTCTTTATTAATTATTATATAAGATTTGAGGTATGCGTATTAAACCTTTATTATAAGTTAAGTATAAAGTATATATATTATCCAAAGCTAAAATAGTAGTTTTAAAAAGACTACCCTTAAGAAGAGCCTTATAGCTATAGTACTATATATACTAAGATCTCTTTTATTTCGAACTATTTCTAAATAGATAATAATATATACTTATAGCTTTTAATAAATATAATAAGTAACTTAAGGGGTTCTTTTTAAGGACTAAAATAGAGGAAGAAGTGCTTTTTATACTATAGAGCCTCGAAGTAGCGATTTATTATTAAAAAGGGACCCTAATTTATTTTTTTAGAAGTAATAATAAGACCGCCCTCCTAACTATAAACGTTAGATACGTATATAAGACGTAGTATAGCGAGCTAAGAATTAAAATAGAACTTTTACCTCTATATATAAAAGAACCCGTAAATAACGCTAAAAAAATAAGTTAACTTATAATTACTAAAGCCCATAAAATACGCCTTTTTATAAACCTCTTTATAAATTTATAAAATAAAATAGTACTAATAATAATTTTTATTTATAATATTACTTTATAAAAGGTTAATAAAAAAGATTTGCTTATTATAATAGAAATTAATTAATAAAAGTAGTATTAACGCTAATAATAAACGGGTTATTAAGTACGGGATTTTAAACTAGTTACCCTATATCTCGGTAGCCTCTACGTATATAGCTACTAAGTATACCCTCTTTATAAAAATCGTAAAAGGGGTATATATTAAAAAGAGTTTAAAGTACTTCCCTACGGGTATATAAGATACTTAGTTAAATATATATTAAAAATATATAATTTATATAAGG